CAAAATCCAGAGACCCTTGAAGGCATCCAGTCCTCTTCACTCCAGCAAGAAGCCCCAGGGCAGTTTCCACAGCTCCCTGAGGAAGAAGAACCTTCTTCCACCCAGCAGGAGGCCCCAGCTCTGCCTCCAGCATCCTCTGTGGAGAGTCTAACTCTACCGAATCGTGAGGTGACAGTTCAGCCTCCAGGTGAGGATCAAGCTCATTATAACTTGCCCAACATTACAGTTAAACTTGCAGATGTGGAGGTTACCATAACTTCAGAGCCTACCAAGGAGACAGAATCTTCCCAAGCCCAGCAGGAGGCCCCGATTCAGTTTCCAGAGGAGGCGGAACCTTCTGCAACCCAACAGGAGGCCCCAACTGAGCCTCCAGGTCCTCCTATAGAGGCTGAACTTTCCCCCAGTGAGCAGGAGCAGCCAGCTCAGCCTTCTGAGTCTTCTGGGGAGGTGGAGTCTTCTCCAGCCCAGCAGGAGGCCCCAGGTCAGCCTCCAGAACATCATGAAATCACAGTTTCACCTCCAGGTCACCATCAGACTCAGCATTCAGATTTGCCCAACATCTCTGTTAAGCCTCCAGACACGCAGCTCACCATAGCAACAGAGCCTAGTGCAGAGGTGGGAACTTCTCCAGTCCTCCAGGAGGCTACAGCTCAGCTCTCAGGGCCAGGTAATGATGTAGAACCTCCCACCATCCAGCACGGGGGCCCACCTCTGCCTCCAGAGTCATCGGAAGAGGCTGGACCTTCAGCAATTCAACAGACTTCAGTTCAATCTCCGGAACCTGTTAATAGTGAGAACCCCTCTCCAACCCAGCAGGAGGCTGCAGCTGAGCATCCACAGACCGCTGAGGAGGGTGAGTCTTCTCTAACCCAGCAGGAGGCCACAGCTCAGACTCCAGAGCTCCCTAATGTAGTTGTAGCTCAACCTCCAGAGCATTCAAACCTGACTCAAGCCACAGTTCAACCTTTGGACCTGGGGCTTACCATCACTCCAGAATCCACTACAGAGGTTGGACATTCTACACCCCTGAAGAAGACTATAGTTCCTCCAAAGCATCCTAAGTGACACTTCCACATCCAGACCAGGTTCAGACTCAGCATTCACACCTGACTCAAGCCACAGTTCAACCTTTCGACCTAGGGCTTACCAGCACTCCAGAATCCACAACAGAGGTTGAACCTTCTACAGCCCTGATGACTACAGCTCCTCCTCCAGAACACCCTGAGGTGACACTTCCACCTTCAGACAAGGGTCAGGCTCAGCATTCACACCTGACTCAAGCCACAGTTCAACCTTTGGACCTGCGACTTACCATCACTCCAGAACCCACTACAGAGGTTGAACCTTCTACAGCCCTGACGACTACAGCTCCTCCTCCAGAACACCCTGAGGTGACACTTTCACCTTCAGACAAGGGTCAGGCTCAGCATTCACACCTGACTCAAGCCACATTTCAACCTCTGGCCCTGGAGCTTACCATAACTACAGAACCTACCACAGAGGTTAAACCATCTCCAACCACAGAGGAGACCTCAACTCAGCCTCCAGACCCAGGGCTTGCCATAACTCCAGAGCCCACTACAGAGACTGGACATTCTACAGCCCTGGAGACGACTACAGCTCCTCATCCAGACCAGGTTCAGACTCTGCATCGAAAACTGACCGAAGTCACAGGTCCACGTACTGAACTAGAACCTACTCAAAATTCACTGGTGCAGTCTGTAAGTTACGCCCAAAATAAGACTTTAACTGTACCAGAGGAACAGAAGGCCTCCACAAGCACCAACATACGTGAACTCTGTACCTGCGGAGATGAGACGCTGTCATGTATTGATCTCAGCCCAAAGCAGAGGCTCCGCCAAGTGCCTGTGCCAGAGCCCAACACCTACAATGGCACCTTCACCATCTTGTAAGGATCACCTTTCCCCAATTGTCCTCTGTCTCCTGCTTGACATAGCAGCCTTTTCCTGGAGGCCTTCCTGGGCTTTCTTTATCTCCCCAAGCCATCCTGACAACTGACTTTCTGCTTTCACCTTTGCTTGTCAGCTCTTCCTTCTCCTCATTCTCCTTTAATGTTAGGCCCCTTCTCCAGTCTTTTACTTTTACTCTAGCCTTTTACTCGTTTTCTTATCCATTTTTATTTAGCCCCATCACATCATTGCTTAACCGCTGCTCTCCTCCCATTTTTGCTTCACCCTCTTTACAGCAGCCTGTCCCTCTCCCGATCTCAGTGATGAGGCTCTAAGTGGTTAAGAGTTGATTCCGGAGCCAGGCTGCCTGGGGTTGAACCCAGGTCTGTTTATTAGGTTGGTGACCCAGAGCAAGTTATTCCGCTCTGTGACTCAGTTTCCTCACATTTCAACTGGGGTTTATGCTAGTTCCCATTTCATAGGATTGTTGTGAAATGTAGGTGAGTGAATATATGAAACACTTCATCAGTGCCTAGCATATATAGGAGTGTTGGCTGTTAACATGATTACTCAGTCCTTTAGTTATGTCCACAACTCATCTTTGTCCCTGGCTTTCTATATGTAGCACTCGTTGTAGCACATATAGTACATGTGCTATATGTAGCACCTGTACTGTCTCCAAAACATGAAATGATAGGATGGATGAAAGAGAATAGGCATAAAAAGGGAGGTATATATAATTAAGTACTAAAAGATAATGCAGACTATTGGTGCTAGAATTTGCCAGAATCTGTGATCCTTGAGGTGTAGAGATCAGGGAAAGCTACATGGATAAGCTAAAACTTTACTTGGGTCTTAAAGAGTAGCTATAATTTGTCAAATAGAAAAAAATGGGAGTACAGTCTAGGCAAAGGCATGGCTACAGGTATGGTTGGAATTTAGTAGACCAATCTGGCTGCAAAGAATTAGGTGAGGGAGCAATGCAGATATGATTATGTAAAACCTTGACTATCAGCTATAGGAGTTTGAAAGTTACACAGTGAGGTATGGAAAGCCATTGAAAGTTTCCAAGCAAGAGA